CGGGCCCCGGGGGAGGGGGGGTCGGGCCCCGCTGTCCTGCCGTGGCGGTCGTGGCTCTCCTGAGGCGCTTGCCCGCCCCAAAAACGGGACAGCCCAGACGCTGTCCCTGCAGGTGGCTCAGCGTCCCTCACGCGCCGTTTCACACCGTAGTTGTGCGCTCCGGTTTCAGTGCAGCCAGAGTCACGTTCGTAGTAAACGAGCACCCTTTGCACAGCTGCTAATCACGACCTGCCTCAGATGACCTGCGTGCAAAACCATTAATTTGGCTAACAGCCAGACCCTTAACTGTGCCCCCTTCGCTTTCGAGGCCGACCAGACTCCTCCCTTGAAAAGAAATCAAGCACGCAGGCCTTAAAATAGCGAGCAGCGCCTGCAGAGATCCCTACTGTTCGCAAGGTTCACCTGTCCAAAATAAAAAGTCGACTCAAGGCCTCTTTACTCCATGGAAAGGATGTTTGTTGTGCTTTGCACAACAGCAGCTTAATAATAAATTATTGTAAAAAAAAAAAAATCAGAGTTGGAAAAATCTTACCTGAAATTTCCCAGCCTTCCACAGGCTAAAATATAGCCTAATCAAGTCATTAAATCTCTTTCTTCCAGTTTTCTGTCTGCACAAAGCATATAAAACGTTGTTTTAGAGCACAGCAAGGATGTTTAAAATTATATATATATAATATCCTCAATAGGCATCCCTGTTGCTAAGCTCCTCCACTTACTTTGCAAAACTACAAATGGAAATTTTAAGAAATTCTAGAGATTTACCACCCACCTGCCTACATTTAACGAAGAGACTTAATGCCCTAATTTTAGATGTGTGCGGGTAGAGCCCCCTGAGCACGGACAGTGCAACAACAAGAACTGCAGAGAACTTCGTTGCTCAGAACCATTTTGGAAAGTCCCAAGCACCTAACAAGCACCAGGTTTTCGTGACCTAGTACTCTTCTGTCTTAGCTCACTCATCTTCTTGACCAAACAGAAAATAAACCCCCAAGCCTTTGGCGCGAACAGTGGGTTACGAAGATTTATCCGCAAAAAGCTTTCACCAGTCTGCACGTAACTTAGAAAAGCAGTGCCCTTTTTAGACGGCCGTTTATCAGGCCAGGAAAGCTTTTCCTGAGGAGAATTTTCTCGTAAAGGGCACAAAACTCAACATTTCGCCTAGCAGTCCCACTGGCACCGAAGAGGGGGGAGGCTAATCCCTGACAAGGGCGCCGAGACGAGGCGGCAGAACCGCCGCCAACCCAACGCAGCC